TGTAAAAGTTTTAAAATATAACTACAATTTTTAAAATTATAAGCATATGAAAATAAGAAACACTCTTGTAAGAAATATTTAATTAATTTTTACGTTGCACCTGATATTTTCTAAAATAGTAGCTCTAATTATTAGCAATAAGTTGAATTATAAAGTTAAATGTATCTTTATTACAATGTAGCTATTTTTATATAAATAGAATAATAAATTATATTTTTAAAAAATAAAAAATAGATTACATTTTTAAAATTTTTTTTTAAATGTTTGTATTTTTTATGTATTTTGGAAAAAATATTGATATATAATACTAAAACTAAGTAGGGTTTAAAGAGTACCATACATTTTATAAGTCTACAAAATTTTATACGTCAAAGGCTGCTATTTCAGAAAATAGCATGCTCAACGTAAAAATTACTTAATATTTATTCCAAAAATGTTTCTTATTCTGATACACTTATAATTTTTAAAATTATGATTATATTTCAAACATTTTGTACTTTTTTTTTTGCAACCTCATTTCTTTATAAATAATGTGTAAAATATTCGAATTATTTAATTGCAATTTTAAAAAAGGATGCCTATTTGAAAATTGTTTATATTTCCAGTCCTCGAAACAAAATTAACAACCCTGAGACTCCTTTTACGAATTCGACTAATTCCTATAACAGGGGTCGGCAACCTGTGGCACACGGTACAATTCTCAGTGGCACTTTGCATTACTCAACAAATTTATCATTTTTTTGAGTGCATGGAATTACGAAAAAAAACTCAAACATAACTCTAAAGATAAATGTACAGCTGTTATGTAAATTATTGAAAGTTATTGCTGGAGAGATTTCAATGTTTGAAGAAAGAAAATTGCGTGTACTTTCTGTTTTTCGTTTTTAGTTCTACATATATTAGTAAAAATTCTTTCCTCATATAAAAGATATTTCGAGTCTATAAAGAAATTGTTTAACAAATGAATGCTCAGAATCATGTCAAATTGAATGTCATAGATTATATGTCTGGTTTTGCGAAGTGTAAGTAGAGCGATGCCATCATTAGGTTCGAGAGAATTAAAACTTTTATTTAACTATAATGAAGGGAACTACTTATATTTTATATTATCTGTTTCTTATTTTATAATAATTATGTTTAGAAATACATAATTAGTAAGTATAATTTTAATTTTCTTTTAACTTTGTTGAAGAAATAGTTATATTTTATGGTGTATATTTTTATATTAAGAAATATCTTTAAAATGATGGGAAGTTAATACATAATAAAACTGTAAATCTATATTATTGACATCTCTTCAGTAACTCCGCATGCCTTATTGCTTAAAATCTGTCATTTGTATGTTATCAAATTGTTTAAAATACCGTAAAATCCGGCGTATAACGCGCACCTACACTTTCAAGCTAAATTTTTTAATGTTTAGGTATATTCGCCGTATAACGCGCACCCCCTTTTTAACGAAGAAATCTGAAATATTAATATACATTGTTTTTATATTTTGAAGTAATTTATTCAAGGTATTATCCCAGAATTTTGAAAAAATAGTATACTTCTAGAACTACAACTGTTCTTGTTCATAAGGCAATTGTATCTTTTAAATAAACAGTGTATCAATACATCTAGAAGTAATTTTTTTTATGTCCGTCCTTTTTGTTCCTTTTAAAGCTATTGTTTTTATACCCGGCGTATAACGCGCACCCTTAATTTTCGATCTTATTTTTTGTGTTCAAAGTGCGCGTTATACGCCGGATTTTACGGTATGTCCTACTGTGTGGCACGTTGAATTATGTGGTAGATTAGTTTGGCACGCCACAGCCAAAAGGTTGCCGACCCCTGTTCTATAATTTCAACTTGATTCGAATTGAAGTATTGAACTCATGTTTTTACTAGACTCATCATCATTAATTCTATTAATGAATCATTATTTGTTCCAATTTATGACTCATTTTGTCACAATCCTAACGGATGTGAATCATTCGAGAAGCCTTAAAATCCATTCAGCTTGTGGTGAAATCTTCAGAGTTGTGAATTCCAAATGCTGACGTCATGACCTCCGCCACGACGGCTCATTAGCCCTTAAACCCATTCGAATTCAATTCTACATTTGGCTGGCCCGCCCAATTACAGCAATAACTTTTGTTGATCGGATAAATAATGCCTAATGACCCCTCAGGGACATCAAAGCCTAGTCAATAATTACACACACGATCCAACGGGAAAACTCGTGCCTCCATTTACAAGCGCTGATAAGGCCAGAACCCGGCTATCTGTCAATCAGGTGGTGTTCTCGACGAAAATTGCGGATCTTCGGTCGGTCCGGAATTAAGTGATGGGTGTGACCGCTTTATACTTCAAGGTATCTGGGCATCAGTCTAAGTTGACGTGTCTCTTTCATTTTCGCAACTGGATTCTTCAAGAGCTAATTTATCACGGAAAAAGAAATGACACTGGCATGGTTCGACCTCTGAGAGAGGTGACCCGTTAGGGTACTGATCGGTTTTTTAGAATGGAAGATTGATGGTGCTGGCCTGCAGTGGAGATCGCTGCGGAGCTGGCTCCTGTGCTCTATATCTCATTAAATGGACACCGCGGGAGGTTTGACAACCCGTGAGGGCCGAAATAATTTGGTGTCTTCTGAAAAACACCGAAGGAGTTAGTGACGATGACCTGGTGTGGCTGCCGAAATCGGATTAGGCGTAATGAAATTTTGATATGGGATCTTTGTCGAGTTTCTCGACCTGTTTTGTTTTTGTGTTGTTCGATTCAGATTGGACTGAGATGTAAAATGTTCAGTTTGGTTTACGTTATATTAGGGGGTGGATAATTTAAAAAAAAATACATCAGTAGCTTAAAGTAAATGATAATATCACTATTTCTTTCGAAATTTTGGTTAAAATTTATTTATATTGTGCGTCTCGTGCTCTTTCAGATCATAGTCTTTTTATACTTTCTTTACTGGTTCGCGAATGAGAGATTAATATTATAAAAAATGGAATTATAAAAGGAACAAATAATATAAATAAAAAATAAAATTAAGTCAATTCCATCTTAGGTCAACAAAGAAAAATTTTATTTGATTTAATTTTTCTCAAATAATTGCAATTAATGCGCATATACATATGATGTATAAACATATTATTATTTTATATTATATATTTTTATACATATTATATTAATGTATATATACATATGACAGTATCACAATATTAAGTGGCAATTAATTTTTATTAATTATCATTAAAGTATCATATTGTCATCCCAAACAATCGTGTACATAAAATTTCACTTCCACTGAATGTTTTAAAACGTGAGGGGGAAAAAAATATTTTAAAGTTTTGACTTAAGTCGCTAAAAATGAAGCCAACGTGACTGTATCTGTAATTCTTTAAATAATTATATTCAGTCAATTAATTTTAATTAATTATAGTTAAATTATCGTATTTTTGCCCAAAAGAATCGTGCATTGAAAATTTCAGCTCAATTGAGCTTTTTAAAAAATATTTTTTTAACGATTGAAAATTTGAAAAAGATATATATAGGGAGATTGTGAACTAATAGTAGAAATTTGAAAATGGAATCATAAAAGGAAAAATAGGAGAGCAACCAACATTTAATTAAAGTAAATTCATAAAGATTGGAGAAAATATATTTTCTTTTTTATGGGTTTAAATTTAAAAGTTATCTGACTACGTTCGGAATCATAATTTTTCAAAATTGTAAAAAGGAATAATTTTTTGTTATTTAGTCTCACTATAATCAGAATATACACATTAAATAGCTTGACACGACTATGATTACAATAAAAAATTATTTAAATGCAATTTTTTTGGCCAAAAATGAAGAAAAAAACGAAACATTTTCAAAATATTTTCCTTTTATGGAAAATGCTTCAACAATAATAATATTTGTGTATATATAGTCAAGAGTTTTCTGCAGAATCTGAACTAGGATTTCTTTTAAAAAAAATAATTCGCATTACTTTCAAAGTTACTATTAAATTAAATAATAACATATGTTATTTGTTAAAATTTCTCTACTCTGACATTTAAAATTCGAATAAATCATTTTCGAAATTATATATTTCAAGAATCCTAATTCAGGCTTTATACAGAGCCCGAATTAGGATTATTATGCTCAGTATTATAAATAAAATTTTATTAATTTATGAAATATATAATTTAAAAATGGATTTTTTCACATATTAATATCTAGAAAAGAGTAATTTTTATAAAAAAAAAACACCAACCTACTTTGAAAATGTAAATTTTTCCAAAACCCTAGTTCAGACTCTGTACAGAAGTCCTATCTTATACATAAGAAAAATATTATTATTATAGAAGCACTTTCCATAAGAAGAAAAAATTTTGAAAATATATATTTCTTTCTTAATTTTTTGCCGAAGATTGCATTTAAATAATTTTTTTATTGTATTAATATTCTTAAAGTAATTTTTTATTTGTATATTTTAATTAACAAATGACATAAAAAATGGCAAAACCTGAAAAATAAAAATTTAAAAAAACTTTTATTTATATGTTTTAGCAAAATCATGCTTTCAAACGTGGCTGATGAACTTAAGTATAATCGGAAACATTTTAACTTTTTTTTTCCTTTTTTTTAAACTTTGACTTTAATTAACTAATAGCAAACATACATACAATACGAATTAAAGTAACTGAGATCTTTCTTAGTTACCAAGACAAATTAAAAAAATTGTTCATATTATATTCAAATACCACTCATGTTATCTGAACAACATAAATTTTAAAACAATATAAAAACATTAAATCAGGTCCTACTTAAACCAACAAAAAAAAATTCATTTTTTAGTTACTTTTTATTAAATAGTAACAATTAGTATAAACATGTATATGCATATGACAGAATCACAACATTAAGCGAAAAAATGGAAAGCGACTATTTATTCATTCATTACATTTAATTATTCCAATAAAATAGTATTTTAAAAAGGAAACCACAGTCTCTCTTAGAAATTAGGCCATCCCAGGTGGGATTCGAATCCACCACCTTTGGATTAGAACTCCAACGCACTATCCATTGTGTTACAGGCACACAACGAACGATTTTCCTCTCTATATAAGCTGTTGGACTATTATTTTTGTTTGTTACTATTTATTCAATTTTTAATTTAACTAATGAATTAATATTAAAAAAAAAGCTATTAACATCAAGTGCCATCCACTTCAAGTTTTTTAAAAAAAATGTATTTGAACTGTAATGGATGAATGGAAGATATTTTATTAACGATTATATATATATATAGAGAGAGAGAGAGATACAGAGAGAGAGAGAAAGAGAATATGCGTGTGTGTGAAAAAAAATCTCTAATAGTAGCAATTGAAAAAAAAGGAAGACATTTCACACTGTGATCTTTTATTGTTAATTAAAAAATATATTGTCATCAAAAGTACTGTAATTTGGATACATAAGTTATGTTAGGCCAGAAAAACTCGCCAAAACACAGCAATGTTTTCTCTATTTTTTTTATATTTATTTTAAGGGAACGGTATATATATGTATA